TGAGGACATTTGCCTCACCAGAGGCCTGTACTACGAAGCCGGATTTTCGCTTAGCGAGCTAACTTCAGGGAAAAATCTGGGTTTCCGGTCCTACGACGCTGGTTCTCTTCTTACCGGGCTAGATCTCCATGATAACTTATGCTGAACGGCTAACCTGCTCCGGACAAGAGATCAAGTCAGTGAAAGCACCGCCTGCTGACCAATCAGAGCTCAGTGTGCAGAGTTTAAAGCTATCAAGTCATATTACAGGATAAAGGAAATACAGAAAAACGGCCGGCAAAAAATCAACTGACTGTGTGAACGTGAACATAGAATATCACCTCCCATCTTCAGAGCAATCTGACTATTATAACATTAGTGTTAAGAAAGCTTAATTAAATATCTGCCACAACATAAGTAACCGGATCAAAGTAACATTACGTTACGTAGCCTACAGTCCGCCGCACTGTGAGTGCAGACGTCGATGTGTCCCATTGTCACTCATAGCACATCATAATGTATCATATTTCCTTATCTGAGTCAGCTGAGCCGTATCTGGCCGTGCAACACTTACAGTGTCACATACTGTATGTAGAAGTATTATTTTTAAGCAACACATTAAGTTGACGAAACACTCGAGTCAAATGTTAATTTAAGTCAGATCCACTCGTGTCTTAGACGGGGCAGTGATATCATAAACCTGTTAATGTACGCATTCAAACACTTTTTCTTTTACCAGTGTTGTTTAAGTCATGGATGTTTAAAGTTTAACTTCTTCATATGTCTAATATTATAGTTTACTTTTCCTTCAGGAAGTATGACGCTGCGCTGTCAGTACGCTTGACCATGTTTGTGATTGGTCAAATGCTGCTGGTCAAATGCTGCTGGCCCCTCCCCTTTCATGTGAATGCGCACTAAGCTTAGACCCTCCAGAAAAACGCGATTCTGCGATCGCAGAATTTACCGCATAATCAGCAAAATGGCGCAGATTTTTAAGAAGCCGCATATTTATCAAAAGACCGCATAATCCCTGCATTTTTCCACACAAAGTTGAGAAGAAAAAAAAGTTAACTCGTCTTGACGTGACGTCATCAGCTCGCGCATCACAGAATGTAAACAACACTGNACGTCACGGACACTACGTCCATTTATATATACAGTCTATGGTTCACACGGGCAAAGCTCAAACGGACTATAAACTTTAAACACAAGTCATGTGCACGGAAATGCTGTTCAACCATTGGTCAGACATTAAGGGGGTAAAAACGCACATTCCCGGCAATTTCTACCGGAGCCTCCGCCATGGAGCATCGGCACTTTCGGCAGGTTATTCTCATGCTGCTGTTAATCTGGAGATCAACAGACACTAGCTCGACCCTCCAGGAAAACGCGATTCTGCGATCGCAGAATTTACCGCATAATCAGCAAAATGGCGCAGATTTTTAAGAAGCCGCATATTTATCAAAAGACCGCATAATCCCTGCATTTTTCCACACAAAGTTGAGAAGAAAAAAAAGTTAACTCGTCTTGACGTGACGTCATCAGCTCGCGCATCACAGAATGTAAACAACACTGTATAGAGCTAATTTACCAACGAACATTTATACTAAAGACCGGGCAAAAAGTGGGGGGAAACTATTCTGCACCCCGTGCAACTGTGTGTTGCAGCATAAGAGAAAATCGACGGTGGCGACCCACTTTGATTCATTCAAACATTCGAAAATGCTTTCTGCTGCTGCGGACAAGAAAGCCAAACAACTCACGTTCACGAGGCATCAACCTCCAAAACCCTTTCGAGGGCTACAAGAAACGAAGTGAGTAGCCTACAAGATTGAAGCTGGTCAGATAACGAACGAGTAAATGAAAACAGAATGAGGCGGAGAAGTGTGTGTGTGAGATTAAAATAGCCCAATTGCTTTTACAATAAATAAACATTGAATGTGTTTAATTGAATAGTAAAGGGGTTTAACGTTAGTGGCAGGCTGTGTGTGAGAGAGAATAAATAAGACAGCCCAATATTTTAAAAAATTGTTATTCTTTCCCCTCGCATATTTAGCAACTTTCCGCATATTTCCTAACTTCCCGCAATTTCACCGCATAAAATCACATAAAACCCCGCATGTTTAATCGCATAATCAAGGATTTTAGCCCACATAATCAAGGAATTTAGCCCGCATAATCAAGGATTTTTGCCCGCGTTTTTCTGGAGGGTCTATAAACTGGACGGAGAAACCCTGGCTTGAGTTACCGAGTTGATAACCAGCGTCGTAGGACAGTTTAGCGAGAGCGCGTTTGTTTTGGATTAGGTAAACCAGCTCAAACCTATCCAGAGTATGTTGAACTGGATTCGTAGTACAGGCCTCTGGCCTAACAACACAAGAGTATGTATACATATGTATACAACACAAGCTGTCGACATAGCTGAATCAACACCCCTACAAACAGAACAAGGGGGAAGGGAGGCAAATAAAGACAAAAAGGATAGATGAATGAAAGTGTTACCAATAATGAACAGAAACTGGCAAGAAGTAGAGATGTTATACTTAGGTAAAAGTACAAAAGTAATGGTAAAAACATAAACTTAAGTACCAAATTTAAAATGTGTTGTTATGCATAATGGCCGTTTTCATTATCATAACAGCTGGTACCTAAAACAATACAGAAAATACTTTAATATGCTATTTATGTCACTTAATTTTTGTGTAATTGCTGCTACAATTCTTTTTTAGCCACAGTTGTGTACTTATTTGTCTTCATTTTGATTTTATTACTAATATCTACTTTTCTTTCTTTTTTATTATTGCATTCCATTTTTAACTACTATGCCACTTTTGCTGTAACACTGTTAATTTCCCCACTGTGGGACTAATAGAGGAAATCGGATTCCAAATTGTAGTGGAGTAAGAGTATAAAGCATATAAAATCTATAACTACTTAGTCAAAGTGCAAGTACTTCAAAATGGTAGTAATGTTCAGTACTTGAGTCACTTTACTTCGCTACATTTCCCCTCTGTGGCAAACATACACACTGATACTTTCAAGTAGCCAGAATTAAAAAGCTAACCCAAGGCTATAAGCAAACTACCGCAAACGTTTCAAAGAGAAACTCCCTCTGGAGGGAACTTTGGGGTTTTATCCTTAGCTGACCATTTACATACAGACAAACCTATAGAAAACACACTACAGGAAAGGGAAAACCCTAAAAAGCATAACAAGGCACCTTTTACTGAAGCCATCGCCCATAAGTTAAAATCGAAATGTTGTTCTGCGTCATTGCATCTGCAACTCATTTAGCCACTTGTTGGCAACCACTTTTTTTCAAGACAACTAAAAAACAACATTCAAAAACAACATTACAGGAATAGAACATTCAAAGCTCCTAGGCTTGTGTAAACCAGAGACCTTATTTTAGGCATCTTACCACGAACCCATTGACTTTAATATAAGGGAACCGGAAGTGCTACAAAGCCAACTAATTTTCCTGGTTTCTGGGTTTCATTCCTGCAGCTCTCTACAGCGCAGCAGGTTAGAGTACGTTGTGTAACCTACATGAAGCATTGAGCCTTGGCAGCTGTAGTTTAGGCACAAGGACAAATACGAGCACACCCAGACACACACAGGAATGTCTGATGTTTTTTCCTGGATCTAAATGTGGGTTTTCACATACCACATTCTCCCCCCGGCCTTCTGTGTCCCAAGTGGCCTCTCTAAGAATCAGTGCCAGCCCCAATTTTAACTGCACTATGATCTCTGCGTTGCCCGTGCTGCCCACGGACAAAACACATATGAGCACACACCAATGTACACTTAACCGGGTCAACTGCAGAACCTTTATGTTATGTAACAAGTATAGCACCACTCTCCTCGGCTTGCAAAGAAATGGGGAAGTTGCACCCAGGGTTGGTATTTTGGTTCTCTGTGGCTCTTCATTTCACATTTTGTTCAAAAACGGTTGAAATACCTGCAAAGACCTTGTGCTCCTTACAGGGCAATACAATCATGACTGTACAGGGTGTAACGATGGGTGTGTGCAGTGGCTGCAGAAATATCTCAATCATATTTGTCATAATTGCACAATATTTAAGGAGCTTCCAATAGTTGATCAGACTGGATCGACCGACTTGCTGAAACGTGTTGCTTAGTGCATAGCTGAATGACACTACCAGCCTGTTATTCATTGGTTAATAAAAAGGAATTACTTTGCCTTACACCTTAGTTACTAAATGTTCAAAGTTATTTTGCACAACATTATGTCTTGAAGTTCGCAATCCTGTTCCATAGGCAGGTTCCTACTCTCACCCTAGCCTGAGACGTGCCCAAGATTTCATTTCTGCGTTCCTCGTGTAATGCAAGAGCAGTAGAGTTCAGGGCGTGACGCGCTGAACTCGGTGCAATCATAGGTGCATGCAGGCAAAGGGCCATAAAGGAATACGTGTAGGAAAGAGTGAGGGAAACAGGAAAACTAAGAGTACAAAAAGTGAAAAACGGAAACAAATACATATGGGTGTAGGGGGGGGGGGCTGTTCACATCTTGGAGCGCCTTGTTTGCAAGTTAATACAGACAACTTGGCATTACATAAGAGAGAAGGCCTTAACATATAAAGCTGCGGAGAGAGTTTACTAAGCCCTGTGGGAAACACATATGAGACACACACGTAAACAACCATTACCCTTGGGACTGAATCAGTTAACTGTGTTGGCATCTCATGGTGATAAGTGACATGCCATTTCACTCCAAAAGAAATATTCAGTGAATCTAACTTCTGAACCTTTTGTACTATCTGCAACTGGCCGAGTTCCTTCTAAGGTCGAGTGGATAGATAACTCAACTATGAAATGCCTCATTCAAAATTTGGCATGGCAATTGTAGTACTTTTTTACAAAATCAAGTATATTTAATTAACCAGATCACAGCAACAAAAACAGCTTCAATAAGTAACAGAACCCTTAAGAAAACAAGGATAGGAAAAATATAAACGGGCATGTTAGTAATCTCCAGCCTCACCCATTGCAGGGTGACTCCCCTGCAAGTCATTTCAAGGTGTATGAGAGAAGAAAAGAAGCATGCACCTGTAGTATCTGGACTGAAGGTAAGTGGAGCACACAGCCTTGGAGACATGGCTGGCTGAGCCAAAATCGATGACTTTGACTCTGTAGGGCTGCCTGGAGGGATCAACCAGCATGATGTTCTCTGGCTTCAGGTCAGCGTGGATCAAACCGAGAGACTTGAGCTTCTTTAAGGCTGTTGCCACCTGCAAGATTTACAAGAATAAAATAGATATTAGAATTTCGGCACTGTGATTCTGATGCCAAAGCACAATGCAGACATGTCATTATCTTCTATGGTTACTTGTCTTTTTTTTTACACTTTTAATTGATGTCTAACATGTACTAAAAGAGATATGGATACTGTATCTACGTGTATGGGTGTCTGCAGCACATGTCAATTTACCTGCTGCAGAATGGGCCGGATGATTTTGAGTGGCAGGGGGCTGAACTTGTTCTGCTTCAGGAAGTCATAGAGGTTTTGCTCCAGCATCTCAAACACCAAGCAGGTGTGGCTTCGGTGCTGAAAGCACTCGAGAGCACGCACCACATTGTGCTCATCTGCGTTCTCGCTGCTCAACCGGGCCAGGATCTCCACCTGGAGGAACAAGAGAGGAAAACAACACGGACTCAGTAAGCACTGTCTTTGTTGTAATCAAAAAAAGGCAATATAAGAAGTGTTCCTGTTGTTGTGTGCTGATGTGAACCCCCCAGCAGATACAAGCAACCCCATACCATGCAATTCTTCAGTTGTTCACAATTTAAACTCAAACACAGAGACTGGTGCATTTTCTTTACAGATTCTCACCTCGATCTGTCCCTGGCGTGCATAGGATGGGTGGTTCTTCAGTATTTTGACCGCCACCACTTCATTTGTCCCCCGCTTCCAGCACTTCACTACCTGACCGAAGGTGCCCCGACCCAGAAACTCCAACACCTCGTAGCTGTTCTTCAAGGAGCACAGAACCTCGTGCTGAACCAACTGATAGTCACCATCAGCTGATCCGGTTCTGGTCACAGTGGCTCCTGCCGCCGCTTCGGTATTGCCATTAGGCTTGATGTCGGTGCCCCCCCCCCTTATTCCCATGGCGGGTGGCGGCTGAGTGGGCAGTGTCCCTCCACCCCCTATTCTTACAGTGTCTGCATTGATCCCGGTACTGGTTTGCAACATGGCCACAGCGGCAGGAAGTGAAGGTAGAGCAGATACCTCCTCCACTATCTGCATGACGCAGTGGTTCTCCCGCGGATGTTCTCCACCTTCGCTTGCTTTCTGTTCACATCTCTGGTTGGCGCCTGTGTCTTGAATGTTGACGTATCCTCCTCTCGCTTCTACTCTTCTGCCCTCTTCCTCCTCTACTCTGATGCAGGCCCTGCTCAGTGGACCGCAGTCCAAGCCCCCTGCTGATGGAGTTCCACCGCTGTCTCTACGAAGCCTCACTTCCTGTGGGCCTCTGCTCTGGCAAAGGGACTCCTGGATCCCAGCTTCACCCTGTCTCTCTTCTCTCTGTAATCCTGCAGTCTGCAATTCACACTCCTCCCTGTCTCCAAGCTGCAGCCCCCTGTGCTGTCTTGCTGAATCGGCACCAGTGGAGGATGGGACAACGTTGTTGGGATAGGCAATGCCGTAGTTGACTCCAATCACATAGGTCTTGGACACTAGTCGTTGCTGAAAGGTTCTGCTGGTGTTATTACTGTGGTGGGCTTCGTCTTTAGGTCTGCTGGTACTACTGTTGCTGGTTCCTATGGCACTTGTTTGAGCTGAGTGCAGGTGTGATGGGTAGACCAAGACTTGTGAGGCCATACCTAAAGATTGGGGACAAAGAAAACACAGGCCATATGTATAATTTAGTCAAGGGTAAAGCAAGTTGACACAATACCAAAGATATAATGTGGGGCATTGATGATTTTTCTAGGAATATCCGCAAGTTAGCATTGCAAGGGCTCACACGAAAACGATAAGTTGAAAGGATCTTAGTTTTTGTTAGGCACTTAGGTACTTGATGGTTAATTTCATAAGAGAGCTGTTTTGTTTTGATGTGTTTTCTGTTTGTGTTTATAGTGTTGTTGGCCCCAGGAACAATAGCCAATGCTTATGTTGAGTCCGTTATGTCCGCAAATGGAGATCGTAATATTGATGAAGACAAAGGTTTATAGGCATTTTCTACATAATTACCCAACATGTTGACAACATTTTTAATAAAAACTCTATTAACTAAACTTTTGTGTAAAGAAAAGAGAATTGGAAGAGCAATGTAGCCGCCTTTCCCATCAACTGAGCAAGACTGTGGTCTAAATAAAGCCAATACATATCTGAGCCATCATGTCACCCTCGCTGAAAAGGGAACTGGCCCACTGTAATGGGAGCTGGGGGAAGCCTGCTGCATCTCTGGCCTGCCCCTGCACGCTACACTGGAGGCTAGGTTTCATACGAAGTAGAAATGCTAAGCAAGCAGTACCCCAGGGGGAAATGATACATCAGGAAACATGAAGGGTGTTCTGTAACTCTGTGACATTATACCGTCATTGAAATGACTGGAACTGACCCCCTTGATGGATAAACCTTCTTTCTGGGACGTGACTGGAATTTAGTTTTGTTAACCTTGCTATTTTTAAAGTTTCCTAATGAGATGACAACCAAGCAACATTCTCATGCTTTGAAAGTAAACTCAAATCAGGCAGGTCTTCCATTACATCCACATGTTGTGAGATCTTGAAGAGATAAGCAAGTATTTACATTCAAAACTGAAAATCTGATTTTATTTTGCACACATGCGATGTGATGTAATAAACACATCTATTGATGTGTGTACTTATTGGATTTGTATTTAATAAATGTGTCTACTCTTTCATTTGTCTTATCTGCTCTTTCCCGCTGTGGGGAGAATAAAGGATTTCTGATGTCACAGATAGAGTGTCATATATGAAATATTGTATCAATTACCAAACCATTTTCCAATTTCAAACAGCAGTATTTCAAAGTTTCTTAAAGGAACGTTCCTCTCCTCCAGCAAGTCATAACACAATGATAATAGGCAGAGGCCAAGCCTGTCAGCCACACTTCCTGCATATTTCTCCTAACAGGGACATACGGTGTGTCTGTCTGGGCTTACGCTCAAACTCAGAGGTCATTCGGGTTTTAAGGCTACAACACGTGTTACCAAACACACACATTTGAAAAGCTTGCCGTCTTCAGCACAATGCTGAGAGGCTGTGGCCTTCCTAACTACTGAAGCCCTCACACACACAAGCTCAGACAGGCAGAGAGGAGTGCCACAACGTCAACATGAGAATACAACACACTTATCAAGACTTGTAGGGCTGGCGAGTTTTAACCAACATACTGCCTACAAAAATTAACAAATGATGTTATGAACTTTTCTTTAAACTGATGAAACAAACAGACAACAGAAAACAAATGGAGCCTACTCTAGTTTGAACTATATCGCCTGTTCTCAAAAACTGAGCTGCCTACTTATGTACTAACTTCAGACAGAGGTCTCCTGTAACCTGGAGGTGGTTGTAATTAGAATTTCTGGATCAAGATCGTTTTCGAGAAAGATAGTATTTCCATTAAGTAGAGATCAATGTATGCATGGTATTCATAAACCGCTCCCACATTTGATAACCAGCTGAAGCAAGCAACTGACAGAAGTCCAAGGCAATAAAAGCAAAAAAAAAACTACTGTGACTGGTGTGGTGCAAATATGTTTACCCTGTGTATGCTTAACAAGGTGCTATAACCATCAGGCATTGAGGGACACTGGCACAGCTGTGATACCTCCTGCTCTATCCTCTAACTGCCAACATAGGTAGTCTGATATCCCACACAACCACGATCCAGGCCTGAAATGGAGAGCTATGACACAAGAGGTGTGTGTGTGTGTGTGTGTGTGTGTGTGTGTGTGTGTGTGTGTGTGTGTGTGTGTCACAGTTGTACAAGTATACCAGCTGTATATGCAGTTTGTTACTGATCAATCTAGGAGACAGTTGACATATGGCAGGGGTGGTGTGTGTGTGTGTGTGTGTGTGTGTGTGTGTGTGTGTGTGTGTGTGTGTGTGTGTGTGTGTGTATTTGGGGGAAGGGCAACACCAACCTAGACACCTGTTAAAACGTATGTAGTAAGTGACAAGCAGCTAAATAATGTGTGTGTTATACTATTTGGTGTATAGCTAACCCAAATGTAGCTTTATTAACCAACCTGGCTAATTTAAACCTACCGAAAGTTACCTATTATTTTTGACGTAAACGTTAGAATTGGTCACTATCTTTTCAAGGTAACATCTTAAAAACACTTTTTGCTACTTCTACATCACTACAATTCAAAAATGTAAATAGTGTACTTTTACGTGACTACATTAATGTAATACCTTTAGTTACACTGAATATTTGGATTAATAATGTGAAATATAAACAATACATTAATAAGACTTTAGTTACACCTGGAGTAAATTCACAAGCTACCCTGCAGTATACAAAGTCATTAAAAACAGCTACACCTTTACAAATACCAGCTTTGATAACACTTTAATGATCAATAATTATAATCAAAACATATCGTATATTATTTTGCAAAATGGGTACTTTTATTTTTGGTAGTTTAAGTATATTTTGATGCCAATACTTTTTTACCGTTACTTGAGTAAAATGTTGAATGCAGCACTTTTACCTGTAACAGAGTATTCGTACACTCTGGTACTTAAGTACAAGGGTACTTCTCCCACCTCTGATTATGAATAACTAATAATCGTCGTTAGCCAAAAACTAATTAGCCTTCACTGCTACAGTTGTCTGCAAAGGGGAACACACTGAAGTTGGCTAGCAAAACAGTTAGCAAACAAGCTAGCTGTAAGCAAAGTATTTTCAACGGTAAAATAAAACCGAAAACATAACAAGTAATGCTGAATTTGACAACCACTTCCGTTAATATATGTTGACATACCTTCAATAAGAGCTATAAATAATATCACCCAGAGCGTCAAGGAACAGTCTAGCAACGTTGAACCGCACCACAGTCAAATCCTGCACCGACGCTGCTGCTGCTGCCATCTTGTTCAACGACGATGAGACACCGAGCGACTTTCCACACATTTGAAGCTCGAAATAACGCAAATAACTGGCTATTACGAAAGCCAGCTGTATTTGATGTTTTCGACAGCCGTTTCAGGTGTCGACCAGCGTTGTTCTTGTCTCTATTCAGGACAAGGAACCTGTATTTCTAAACTTTTGCATGCTAATACGCTTCGTCCCCGACAGAGATAGCTGCTGGCTGTTAGCTGTTGCTGCTGGTACGGTAGCTTGTTGCTTCTCCGCATGTGTGGAATGTAGGTGGGGGGGG